GAGAGAGGGCAGAATGCAATGACACGCTAATAAAGGGTGTCTCTCCCAGTGTTCATTGTGCATAAGAGTCATCTGGGGAGCACTTCTAAAATACAGATGTCTGGGAAGCACTTCTAAAATACAGATGTCTGGGCCCAAACCAGATCTACTCACCCTTTTCATACTTTTCAAAGATCCCCTGAATTCTTCTACTGGAATCAGTCCATAGGTTAGCATTTGAGAAAGATAGTTTTGCCTCTAACTGTAGGACAAGGACCCACATGAGAAAAGAATCTAAAAAAGAGTGGCTATGTAAGGATAACTGATTCACTTTGCTGTACTGCAGAAAGTAACACAACATTGTAAATCAACTATAAGCTAATAAAAAATTAAAATTTTTAAAGTAAAAATAAGATGCTAAAATAATTAAAATAAAATTTTAAAATAATTAAAATAAAAATATTCTTATTGGTAATAATTTAAAGTTTCAATTATACTTATTACAAGTATATTACAAGAGCAGATAAAATCCACCTAAAAGAGTGAAAATATGGAATGTTAGGATATTTTCAAAGAGATAAATTTTATTTCCAAACTGCTTAGAATAACTAGCCATGAGAATAAACTATGGATTGCTAGAAGTCAATATAATTAAATTTCATAACAAAAATAATTTACAAGATTTTTTATTTACATTTTTAATAAGTGAATCTATTTTTGCTTTGCAAGCTTGCTCCTTCTAGTAGACTAAATATTAGCTTTATAATCTTTCTTAAACTTAATTTAGTTTTTATATCCTTTTCATCTTTAAGGAATAAAAGATAAACTTCAGTACAGCCTATAATAAAAGATCACAAATTCTTTTTTTTTTAAGATCATAAATTCTAAATCAGTGTTGTCTGAACTAACTTGGTTTTGCTACATAATCTTCTGACCTGCAAAAAAATTTATATTAAGAAAAATGCTTACCATATGATCAATTACCTTAAATAAGTAAATTGTCACTAATTCTGTTAGGAAATTCAGGCTATTAATCTGTATTTGTGCTTAGCTCATTTTTAGGCAGTGCTTGTATTTTAAGTAAATATATGAGTTAAACTTATCTGTTTTGAAAGTCATGTCTCCTGTCCTTGCCTTGGTGAGAGCGAAGCCTCTCATCTTATTTCTCTACTTTCCATCCCCAAAGCCCAAACTGATTTTAATTCAATGTGATAATAAGCTTCATGAAGATAGAAAACTGTGTGTCCTGGTTACACTTTACCCCTAACTCCAAGCTCAGGGCCTAAACAGGAGATATAGTTGATAGACATTTATTTATTTACTTACTTATTTGCTAATAAGAATCATCTTCCCTTTATAACCCCAGGAAAACTCAATTTTACCCAGATTTATCTAAACGTATAGCCATCTACTTCAGCCAGTATAGGAAGAAGCGCACGTGGACAGAAAGCATTTTTTAATAGTTGTCCAGCAATCAACCTAAGTATAAAGATCATTACTTGATGTTCAGTAAAAGAATTTTGATGTCATCATCAGGTGTGTCAAATTACACAAGTAAAACCCCCAAAGGAGAGTCTTGCCCTGGCTCTGGAACTACTATAGGGGCTCAGACATCAGAACCAGTTCTCATCACTCAAAATTCCCTTAAAATGACCTGACAGAGGAGCCAACCACATGTTAAAGCCAATTTAAAGCACTTGTAAAAACTAATATGTTAGCTCTACTGTAACAGTCCATTTAATAAAATGGACAGAATACTGTCTCAAAACTGTGACTGGTTCAGTAAGACTGACTCTAATGGCCAGTAGTAATGCAAGAGAGGCAAACGTGGATGGAGCACTTATTTAAAGTCAGGCATTGTGCTAAGCATTTTATCTAATCTCATCAAAGCCACATGACAACTGACTAATGGAAAAATTGATGAACTTCATTTTACAGGAGAAAAGGAGAAATCTGACTTATGTAACTTGTGTATGCTCTGTGCATATACTACACCATTTTATATAATGGACTTGAGTATCCTGGGATGTGGGTATCCATAGATGGTCCTGGAACTAATCCCCTATGAATACTAAGGGATGACTGTATTATGCAATTTGAAGCTAGTGTTTGAAAACAAAAATACCATGATTTATTCACCCAAAGTTCAGATTATATCCTTGTATATGATACAGAAAGCACTTCATATTTGAATACAAACTCCCTTTGCCTTCTGTACATACATACAGTTAATAATAAGACCACACTAAATTAATCACCTAGAAAGCTAATATACCCTAACATGACTAGTTTTTATCAAGCCACTTAAAACTGTAACAAAGCTATCATCTGCACCTCAATTACAGACTAGGAAAGATAAACAATCTGCTCATGGGGAAAAAGGCATCTGACTCTTGGCCTATGGTAGGAATGAGTGAATGAATGAATGAGGAAGAGTGTGCAATGTATGAGGGAGGAGGATCTTTACAAACTCAGACTTTTTATTGGTCTTAAACGTGTTCTGAGAGCAAACATCATTTTAGCCTTGGAAAGTCATGTTAGTACTGATAATCTCTGAAATTTGGACACAGTGAAGCCCAACACATATAAAGAGCTTCACTGATAAAAGAGGAAAGATCCCACAGTTTAATCTTTAACTCTTTGAAATAAAGTATAGCCTCTTGTAAAGGAATTATCAGAAAATTCAGATGTGATAGATGATAGCGACTGTGTTTGTATCAGTTCCTGTGGTGTCAGAGCAGCTGCCTGGATACCTTTATTCTGTGGTGAACAGTGAGGTGTCACTGACAACTTTGCTGAAGCTTATAGCTTCCTCTGTAACAACAGACAATAACAATACTATTGAGCACCTAGCACATCCCTAGTTTACAAATGACAGGATCGAAGCTCAGAGGCACTGACTGGTCCAGGCTCACACAGCCTGAGAGAGATGAATTCAAACTTGTGTCTAACTCAAACCCCAGGCTCCTTCTGCTAGTCCAGGTTGCCTCTTTCTGTGTTACAAAAATCTAAGGAGGCTTGATCCAAAGATCTGGCAGGAAAGTAATAATTTTCTATGAGTAATGGTAAGAAAGCAATGTATACAACTGATTTATTACAATGGTGGAATTAGAGTTGGATATTTACTGTCCTTTACTATTCTGCAGAGGAGATTTTAATGCCATTTATGTAAGATTAGATAATTTATTACAATTAATTCATGAGTTCCTATAATCTTTCCATTTTTATTTTTATATCCCACCCTGGTGCTGAGTCATAATATGCTGGATTATACTTAGTCTCTGCCTGTGCATAAGCATCTGTTGAGGAGTTCTTGGGTGGCATTATTTATATTTTCTTATAAAGCCTGTTTGATAACATGCTGACTTCACAGACATTGAATCACCATACTTGGCTCTTGCATGATTTAATGTTAAATCATTATGCAGAGCACTTCTTGTAGAGGAAATTATAAGCTCAGCCACAGCATGTGCTGTCTCCTGAATTATCAAAGCATACTCAACAACACTCAAAATCAAACTTAAGATTTGATTGGGGAATCTAAAAAAAAAAAATGATACAAATGAACTTACTTACAAAACAGAAAGAGACTCACAGACTTAGAGAACGAACTTATGGTTGACAGGGACAGGTGGGGAAAGGATAGTTAGGGAGTTTGGGATGGTCATGAACACACTGCTATATTTAAAATGAATAACCAACAAGGATCTATAGTGTAGCACATAGAACTCAATGGTATGTGGCAGCCTGGGTGGGAGGGGGGTTTGAGGGAGAATGGATATCTGTGCATGTATGACTGAGCCCCTGCGCTGTTCACCTGAAACTATTACAACATGATTAATCAGCTATACCCCAATACAAAATAAAATGTTCAAAAGGAAAAAAATATACTTGATTAGCATTAGTACTACTTACTTGGGACTTCCCTGGTGGTCTAGGGGTTAAGAATCCACCTTCCAATGCAGGGGATATAGGTTTGATCCCAGTGGGGGAACTAAGATCCCACATGCTACAGGGCAAATAAGCCCCCAACACAACTAGAGAAAGCCCACGCACTACAACAAAAACCCAGTTCAGCCAGAAACAAAAAAATACTACTTACTATTATCACTTGAGGAAGGTTGACTCACATAAAGCATAAGATAAAGTCGGGGGGGGGGGTTCAAATTAAGATGTGAAAACTTCCTGCTCCCCAAAGTACTCATTTTAACTGAAATTCTCCATTATAGTCTCTGACCAGTGACGCAGAGTTTATTGGTTCCTAAAGATGTGGAAGATGGGTGTAACCTCCCCAGGGGAAATTTTGGAAGGGGGCTGATTGTCACAATCAGTTCAGTTCAGTCACTCAGTCATGTCTGACTCTGCGACCCCATGGACTGCAGCACACCAGGCCTCCCTGACCATCACCAACTCTCAGAGTTTACTCAAATTTATGTCATTGAGTCAGTGATGCCATCCAACCATCTCATCATCTGCCATCCTCTTTTCCTCCTGCCTTCAATCTTTCCCAGCATCAGGTTCTTTTCCAGTGAGTCATTTCTTCACATCAGGTGGCCAAAGTATTGGGAGTTTCAGCTTCAGCATCAGTTGTCACAATGACTGACACTAAACAGGTAGTAGGAAGCTAATTTTTAATGCATTCTTTAGCAACATAAGAATGGCACATACACAGCTCCTCATCCACCAGAAATTTCAGTCATACTGCAACAATGAAAGGGGCTTCCCAGTTGACTCAGTGATAAAGAATCCACCTGCCAAGTAGGAGAGGTAGGTTCAATCCCTGGGTTGGGAAGATCCCCTGAAGAAGAAAATGGCAACCCACTCCAGTATTCTCACCTGGGAAACCCCATAGACAAAGGAGCCTGGCCAGTTACAGTCCATGGGGTCACAAGAGAGTTGAACATGACTAAACAACAACAGCAATGAAAGAGCTTCACATCACACAGGGGTTAGATGTGGAAGGTGAGTAGGAAATCAAGGGATTTCTTTAATACCTTATTACCACTCCTTTATTTCATTAGGAAAGTGTTGACGATGGCCGAGCAAGTATCTATCAATCTGTCATCTCCAACACCAGCAAAGAAATGTCCTGTCTCAGTGACTTTCCAATGCCTGAAGATTTTCCAAACTTCCTGCACAATTCTAAAGTCCTGGAATATTTCAGAATCTTTGCCAAGAAGTTTGATCTACTAAAGTATATTCAGTTCCAGGTATTGTATTTGGGGTAGGGGGGAGGGAAACAGCGCAATAGAAAACTCGAAAAGTAATGTCATTACCCGTGATATTATAGACTATATGCATAAACAGAAGAAAAACATTTGTCAAAATTAAGGCTTGAATGATATTGACAGTGAAACTGCATGTAAATTAGTATCTATAACCGCTAAGACGACTAGCCTCATTTCCTTTGAAAGGGTATATGAAAACAAAAGTTATGTTGTTTTATTTTCTTACCTTCTCCATAGAAATGGATTATCTTAGAAAATGGATTAGATAAACCCACAGCTCCCCATTCATCTCAGAATCCTATAGAAACCACTTTTGTTAATTTTTGATGCATTCTTTAGCAACATAAGAATGGCCAGATACAAGACAGGCGCTTTAACCAACTAAGCCCAGGTTGGATGCATGAGACAAGTGCTTGGGCCTGGTGCATTGGGAAGACCCAGAGAGATGGGGTGGAGAGGGAGGTGGGAGGGGGGACCGGGATGGGGAATACATGTAAATCCATGGCTAATTCATTTCAATGTATGACAAAAAAACCACTGCAATGTTGTAAAGTAATTAGCCTCCAACTAATAAAAATAAATGGAAAAAAAAAAGAAAAACAAAAAAAAATAATTAGCCTCCAACTAATAAAAATAAATGGGAAAAAAAATTAAATGCAAAAAAAAAAAAGAATGGCCAGATAATTCTGAAATGCAATTATAACTACCTTTCCCTTCTTTCCTCAAAAACAAATAATTAACAAGAAAAAACCAATAACCTCATTAAACATCCTAAATTTGTATGAATAACCTACACTCTGAAAACCAGTAACTGTGTCTAGGAAATAAATTATAGTGCTGAATAAATATTGGTAGAACTTATTTTTTAAACATTTCATTTTCTCAGTAATTTTAGTTTTACTATAGATTTGTATTACATTAATTTGTAATAATTGATTTGGTGGACATAAACATATGCAAATACCATGAAACTATTTCAGTCTATCTAATACAGAGTTCCTCCAGTTTCTTCATCTTTTGTTTATCGTTTTACTGATGTTTTCTGGAGATTGGAGAGGGCTTAAGAAAACACACTCCCATTTATTGATCTCTGAATTGGTATAAGCCATAAGATGCAATAACTCAATTCAAACTATAAAAGGACATGTTCAGACTAAGTTCAATATCAATACGGTGACCTCCCAGGAATGGGAAACCACCAGGTTGCCTGAGAAGGAGTGAACTGGCTCATGGAAGTTACATTTCTAATAACCTCCCCAGTGACAGTGAAGATTGGTCCTCGAACCACATTTTGAATAGTCAAGAATCCGGAGTACTTTAGTGACTATACCATGCTTAACTTCAAATTTGAAATCTTTCAACTCAAAATACCTAGACATTTTGTAGCCTTTTCACAACATTCCACATACATTTTTTAAAACTGTAAAAGCTTCAAAATTGCCAACACAGCATTTTGAAAAATATCTGAAATTTGAAAAGCATGCATAAGGGGCTCAAACACTTGCCAGCAAGAAGGAAGCATGCCATTCATCTGGCAGAAAATCTTCACTTCCTTTGACATTGCTTCTTAAATACATCAAACACAACATTTATGTACACTTTTAAAAATCCATAAACCTCCACACAGCAAACAAAATTTACAAAAAAATCAATAAACCAGTAAATTATTTAATCCAAATGAGAGTATGAAATGTGTTGCTAGCAAGACATTTTAAAAATAATAAATATGACAAGCCACAACTACTGAGCCCACATGCTGTAACTACTGAAGCCCACGCTCCTAGAGCCTGTGCTCTGCAGAGAAGCCCACACACTACATCTTTAAAAAAAAAAAAAAATGATGGATATGAATAGACAATTCACAAAGGAAGAAATGTTGTGCAAACTTAACAATGAATGTTACCAAAAAAATTCACACTCACTAGTAAACAACAATATGCAAAATAAAGGATATGATGCAGACTTCTTTGGTGGCACAGTGGATAAGAATCCCTCTGCCAATGCAGGGGACACAGGTTTGATCCCTGGTCCAAGATGATTCCATATGCCACGGAGCACCTAAGCCCATCCACCACAATTATTGAGCCTGTGTGTTGCAAATACTGAGCCTGTGTGCCGCAACTACTGAAGCTCTCATGTCTTAGAGACCATCCTCAGCAACAAGAGAAGCCACCTCAACGTGAAGCCCATGCACCACAATAAAGAGTAGCCCCCACTCTGCAATGAGGGAAAGCCCGCGAATAGCAATGAAGACCCAGCGCAACCAAACTTTAAATTAATTTAAAAAAAAGCACATGATGCCTTTAATAAAATAAATAGGAACAACTCACCATTCATGGAGTGCTGTCATTGTGCCAGGCACTATGCATGGAATATATTCTCTAATATAGAGTCTGCACAGAGGTCAACACAAAAGTTTTGTGTTAAATGCTGATTGTGTGATCACTTGAATGATGAACACATGTTTCGTATCTTGCCCAGACTTTTGCCATGATTTTCTAAGTCTCTCTCCTTATTCAGTCCTTAACGCTGGTTCCCACTGCTGAGTCAGGCCTCTCACACAAAGCAGTACATCCTTGGTACCATGTGCCAAGGAAGAAGCAGCAGGGCGCACTTAGAAGTCTTTGCCTTAAGTGGCTTGAACTGGCTTCAAATGGAATCTCAATGGAGCCAGACATTGCACTCTACCCTTACCCACTCCCAGGCACTGGACAAGGCCCCTTTTATGCCAGAGTAATCCTCAATGATGCCTTCTCTGTGTTTGATTCCAGACAACCGTCCTCAGTGTGAAAAAACACACGGATTTTGCAACCTCTGGCCAGTGGGTGGTTGTTACTGAGAACAATGGTAAGGAGCAAAGCGCTGTCTTTGACGGAGTCATGATCTGCAGCGGCCATCACGTCTTCCCTCATCTCCCACTGGAGTCATTTCCAGGTGAGGCCTGTGCAGAGCCCCGGCTTTTGGGAGTAGGTGTCCAGGTACTTAATGTTCACGCTAGATTGACAGCAAAACTGGCTAGCTACTGCAACTCAGCATAATATTAAAATCAGGATAGAGCCAGAAAGATGAAAGATTCCAAATACCATCTTTGTTTCTTTTGAGCCCTCCGAGTCTTCATTATCAGAGTTTAGCCAAAGTTTAGCCTTCCCCAAAGTGACTAAATGTTACTCAGAATTTCAGAGAATTTTCACCCATCTTGGTTTTCTGTTGGAGAGATCCTTTCAGCCATGTACCTTACCTTACGACAGGGAAGCCTGGCGTGCTGCAGTCCATGGGGTTGCAAAGAGTCAGACAGGACTGAAAGGCTGAACAATAACAAAAGCTTACCCTGACCTTTTTCTATCCTGCCAAACACTTGTGGCTGTTTCGTTTTGGGGACTTCCACAGAGCCATGCCCACAGCCAGGGTTACTGGGGGTAGTTTCTGGACATCAGTACTCCTATAGGATAGTGGTGGATGCCGGAAGTGCAGGGGAAGATGGCTCCTCCCAGGCCCCTCTGTAAGAGAGCACACTTCCTTGCCAAGGCCTTTAGGAAAACATTTAATAGGGTCGTTCAGTCCAAGCCCCACATTATTCAAACCACCTGAGGAGTTTTTAAAGTTCAAATGACCTTCAAAGATTCAACAGGTCTAGGGTAGGCCTAGGTCAATTACTTGTTCAAGTGATTTCAATATGCAACCTGGACTGAAGCTTCCTGATCCAAAGCAATGAAACTTTCCAACAGAATCACCTAGAGGACTTTTAAAACCACAACTTTCTAGGCTCCACCCCTAGCATTTCCAGCTCTGTAGATCTAGGCTGAGAATTTGCATCTTTAACAAGTTCTCTGGTGATGCCAATACTGCTGGCCAAGGGACCAACACTTTGAGAACTCATATGATCTAAAGGAGAAGGAAATAGCAACCACTCCAGTATTCTTACCTGGAAAATTCCATGGATAGAGGAGCCTGGCAGACTACAGTCCATGGAGCTGCAAAGAGTCTTATGCGACTGAAGCAACTGAAGCACATGATCTAAAGGCTCTTTCAAGCAACCCATCATCAAAGACAAATACTTTAATAAGGCCATGTTTTCCTGGGAAAAGACACAGATGTTTATCTTCAAAAAGGCCTGTCCATGGAAGCAATCTAGATGTCCATCGACAGATGAATGGATAAAGAAGCTGTGGCACATTCATACAAGGGCATATTACTCAGCCATTAAAGTGAATACATTTGAGTCAGTTCTAATGAGGTGGATGAACTTAGAGCCTATTATACAGAATGAAGTCAGGAAGAGAAAAACAAATATATAGTATATTAATACATATACATGAATCTAGAAAGATGATACTGATGAACTCTATTTTCAGGGCAGCAATGGAGACATAGACATAGAGAACAGACTTGTTGATATGGGTTGGGGTTGGGGAAGGAGAGGGTGGAACGAATGGAGAGAGGAACATGGAAGTATATATGCTACCATCTGTAAAATAGATAGCCAGTGGGAATTTACTGTATGACTCAGGGAACTCAAACTGGGGCTGTGTGACAACCTAGAGGGGTGAAATGGAGTGGGAGATGGGAAGGAGGTTCCAGAGGGAGGGAATAAATGTATACCTATGGCTGATTCATATTGATGTATGGAAGAAATCAACACAATATTGCAAAGCAATTATCTTTCTGCTGCTGCTGCTGCTAAGTCGCTTCAGTCGTGTCCAACTCTGTGCCACCCCATCCCTGGGATTCTCCAGGAAAGAGTACTGGAGTGGTTTGCCATTGCCTTCTCCGAAGTATCCTTCAATTAAAAACAAATAAATTTTTTTTAAAGGCTCTCCAAAGAAGACATACAGGTGGCTAACAAACACATGAAAAGGTGCTCAACATCACTCATTATTAGAGAAATGTAAATCAAAACCACAATGAGATATCACCTCACACTAGTCAGAATGGCCATCATCAAAAAGTCTACAACAATAAATGCTGGAGAGGGTATGAAGAAAAGGAAATGGTCTTGCACTGTTTGAGGGAGTGTAAATTGATACAGCCAGTATGGAAGACAGTATGGAGATTCCTTAAAAAATTAGGAATAAAATCACCGTATGACCCAGCAATCCCACTCCTAGGCATATACCCTGAGGAAACCAGGGTTGAAAAAGACACATGTATCCCATTGTTCACTGCAGCACTATTTACAATAGCTAGAACATGGAAGCAACCTAGATGTCCATTGACAGATGAATGGACAAAGAAGCTATGGTACATATACACAATGGAATATTACTCAGCCACAAAAAGGAATGCATTTGAATCTGTTCTGATGAGGTGGATGAACCTAGAACCTATTATACAGAGTTAAGTGAGTCAGAAAGAGAAAGATAAATATCATATTTTAACACACATATACAGAATCTATAAAAATGGTTTTGAAGAATTCATTACAATCATTTAAAAGAATATATGCTATGTGATATTGAAGTATCATTGTATATTACAAAATAGGATGATGGATGGCTTGAAATCAATACCCGACTCTGCTCTATCCATCAAAACCACTGTCCTCTAGTAAATACCTAAGCTGCAACCTCTGAAATCAACTTATTTGGTGCTGAACTATAGGCTTGGGCTTCCCTGATGGTTCAGATGATAAATAATCCACCTATAATGCAAGAGACCTGAGTTCAATCCCTGGGTTGGGAAGATCCCTTGGAGAAGGAAATGGCTACCTACTCCAGTATTCTGGCCTGGAGAATCCATGGACTGTATAGTCCAGAGGTCACAAAAAGTCAGACACGACTAAGTAACTTCCACTTCACTACACCATGTGTTTAACCTAACATTTCTTACATGCTCCATACTTTGAGTTTGCCAGTTGGCCTTAATACTGTAACTTCCCTAAGAGGGGAAATAACAAAACGAATAATTGATCCCAGAAAGGAAAAGCTGACAGGGCAGTTTTATTGAAATTAAGTTGACATAGTTCATGGATTTCTCTTTTCTTTACCCCAAAGGTATCCAGAAGTTCAAAGGCCAGTATTTCCATAGCCGTCAATACAAGCACCCAGAAGGATTTGAAAAGAAACGCATTTTGGTGATTGGAATAGGAAACTCAGCCTCAGATATTGCAGTTGAGTTGTGTAAGAAGGCTGCTCAGGTAAGATGCTCCCCGATTACCTTGTCTGCTGGTGGGGCAGAGGCGGGGGGGGTGGTGGGGGTTGGGGAGGAGAGGAAAAGGGAAGGGCATAGTAGAAAATCACAGCCATATAACCAAGGCTCCATTAGTTAATAATTGGTTGATTAGTTGGTTGGTTGCCCAGTGTGGTATCATAGGAAATCTAGAAATCAGGAAGCCAGTCAATCTCCCAGCTTTGCCATTAATCAGCTGTGTAACCTAGAGTAAGTTATTTTACTTCTCTGGATGTCTCCTCACTTAAATTTGGGTCAGACAACATTCAGCACAGGAGGCCTTGTTTCTACCCAGGGGCCTCTATGAGTTGACCTGCTCATCTTTGGAAGAGTGCCTTTTAGAAATTTAATGCATATTTGAATTCTATTTGAAATGTAAATAATCCATAGTTCCCAAGAATCATTTTAAAAAAGAGAGAGATTAAATAGACAGTAAGACTCCCAAACAAGATCATAAATATTTAGGTGCTTCCTGAGGTCTTCTGACCACTGTTATCTTTTCACCTGTTTAGGAATGACACAGTTTAGCTGCCAGCGTCAAACATTACAAGATGCAGATGATGCTGACAGAGATGGCTGAGAATAGCAATAACTAAATCCCTTTTAGAAGGACAGGCCTAGGCAAAGATGGGAAAATAGCTTGGGTTCCTCTCCCCACAGCAAGCCCTTTCAACATGGTCTGGATTCCAGGAGTTCTATCACTCTTACACTGGCCTCCTTAGCCTGGCATCTTCTGGCTCCTCAGGACTTACTGTGGCCACGTCTACCACTGCCAAAAGTGCCCTATCCTGAGACTCACACTGTCAGGACTCAGATGTTGTGGTCATTTTTGGGTCGCTCAGTCGTATTTGTGACCCCATGGACTATAGTCCTCCAGGCTCCTCTGTCCATGGGATTTCCCAGGCAAAAATACTAGAGTGGATTGCCATTTCCTTATCCAGGGGATCTTACTGGACCAGGAATCTAACATGTATCTCCTGCACTGGCAGGCACTGGTTCATATCACTGAGCCACCAAAGAAGCCCCAGGGCTCAGATGCCCAGTAGCAAATGTGATAAGCATATGTGGTGCTTCCCCAGCAGGTTGATGATGGGGTTCCACTGGGACCTGTCAGAGTTACCACCCTGAGGACAGAGCAGGTCATTAACACTAGAAAGAGTTGTACTAGACACAGGAGGTCCTCGCCTTATTTATGAAAAGAAACCACTTTTCATTTTTCAAAGTTTTAAGGCCTTCATGTGAAGAACAAGTAAAGAGGCAGTAACTGTAAAGGCTCGGAGAAGAGCCAGCTCAGGTGGGGAAGGTACCAAGTTCAGTCTCCTTACTGTTTGGAAAACCTGACAAGCTTGGGGAAGGGAGTATGATGAAAGGAGCTGACCTAGCTGTCAACTAAGTGAAGCTCCATACTAGACCACTACATGTTGCAGGTCAGTGATTTGGACTTAGAACAATTGATCCAAAGATCTTAGATTGCAAGAGTCTATTTCCTCATATGGGCTTGGCAATGTAAAAGCCTCTCTATCATGCTAGATTCAATAATAAGTAAGCACCTTGGCTATATTTGTGTGCCTTCCAGCTCATTAATTTTTAAATAGTGTCTTTCCAACATTTATTAGATTAATAACATAATTTATCATTATGATAAAATATCTTACACAGAGCAATGCACTCTCAATCCTTCTTTGACAAGGCTTACCAGAGATTTTCTAGGAGCTATGTAGGTAAGAGTTAGAACCAAGTGCATCTGCAAAGCTTAAAATTACATCTAAACTCACCTTAGTCCTGAGTGTGCCCTGCTTCTGTTAAAGGAAGTTCATGTTCATAATGATATGACTTGTTCTACCACAGTCCAACCACCCACTCAAAATACTGTGTGATGGTGCTGAGTCATCCACACACTTTTCCACCAAAACCCAAATCTCTGATCCTTTGCCTGAAGTATGCATCTGATCCTAAATTCTCAGACATATCACACTGCTACAGCTAGTGGAGCTAGCCAGATTAGACTCCCATAGGCAGAGCTTCCAGTGTGAACATGGATTGATCCTAAGTGTGTTAGTCACTCAGTCATGTCCACTCTTCGTGACCCTATGGACTGTAGCCTACCAGTCTCCTCTGTCCATGGAGTTCTCCAGGCAAGAATACTGAAGTGGATAGACATTCTCTTCTCCAATGGATCTTCCAAATCCAGGGATCAAACCTAAGTCTCCTGCATTACAGGCCATTACAGGCAGATTCTTTACCCACTGAGCCACCATAGAATCCCTAAAGAAGAAGGGCAGATGATAAGTAATGGAAAGAGACTGCATAGAAACATTTAAGTACATTACCTAATGCCTAGCCAAAGTATTGCCAAGCTAACAAAAGGATAGCAGCAGAAACAGTCAGGATGTTAAGTATATTACTACACACAGACCAGCAATTCAACACCATTTTATATCAGTGCTACTTCACAAGTTAAGGAGTTGAGACCCAGAAAAATGTGTCTCCAAGTTCTGGCTCACTCCAGATATGTGGCACTACATGAAACTCCTCCAGCCTAAATTTACAAAACATTAATAGCTAGCAATATCTATCATTGGCCAACCAACAATTTCAGCCCTTTACATGTATCATCTCCTTTAATTTGTACAATAATTTTATGAAGCAGGTACTGCTACTACCCCTATTTTATGGAGAGAGAAACAGAGACACAGAGAGGTTGAAGTAAGTCACTCAAGGCAACACAGCTTTTAAGTAGTGAGGCTGGGAGTCAAACCCAGGTAGTCTGAATCCAGAGTCCTCAGTCTAGAATTCACAGTCCTCAGCTCTTAAGTCAATCAGTTCCTTACAAGGGAGTATTAACATGTTTATCAAGTCCTTGTACAATAGAACTCACAGAGTTCTGGCATGTCAAAATACTGACATGCAAAATTTTTTTTTCATTTATTTTTATTAGTTGGAGGCTAATTACTTCACAACATTTCAGTGGGTTTTGTCATACATTAACATGATGACATGCAAAATTTTAAGAAGCAAATCAAATATGCATTTGGTCAATGGAGAAGTAACAGTAAACAAGGTAAAATACACATTTGAAAAGAGATTTAAATGTACATCTTGAAAACTAGGGCAATATGAGTATACAAGTTAAAGAATACATCTGACATACACACAAACACACTACTAGATATAAAGTAAAAGCCCATGTGTAAAATATATAATCAACAAGGAACTACTGTGTAGTACAGGGAAATATACTCTGTACTCTCTAATAACCTATATGGGAAAAAATCTGAAAAGAATAAATATATGTATATATATATTAATATAACTGATTACCTCCTATATTAACTTCCATATAAAGTAATATCTATGAATAGCAAAAGTTATATTTTTAAACTCTGAGTTTTTGAAATAAATTCAAAGTTAAAAATCTGGCTTTTAGGCTGCAATCATACATATTTCCTTGGATTATAATTGTATACCGTTGCTATAAAAACAACCTGGGTTGGATAGAAAAGTGAGAGGAGGGAAGAAGTATTGAACCACAATGCAAACGTAGATTTGTGGATTTTATGGTTGGTTTAGCCCAAAGATTTTCTCCGGTCTCCATGAAGTCCTCAAGACTATGGTAGTCTTCCTCTATCAGTGTAAATACCCCGGGGCACCACTTGTATGATAAAGCTGACCCAGAACAGTGAAAACTAGAAGATCCTTCACTTTGAAGTCAATCATCTTTAAGACAAAGCATTTCAGCCAGTTCTGGGGCCATACATGTGATATATTATCTACACAGTGGGTTCCTCCCAAAAAAAGATGATGCCCTAACATGAACTGCATTTCTTTTTGCTCACTAGGTGTTTATCAGTACCAGACATGGTTCCTGGGTCATGAGTCGTATCTCTGAAGATGGCTATCCCTGGGACTTGGCATTCCACACCCGCTTTAAAGTCATGCTCCATAATATCGTGTCACGAATTGTTGTAAAATGGGCAATGGAAAAAGTGATGAATAAATGGTTCAACCATGAAAATTATGGCCTTGTCCCTCAAAACAAGTAAAATTACTTTACTTTTTTATGGTATACTCATTGATAATCAGGGTTGTCAGAAGGGTTTCTCTTTGAAAAGAGCCAGATTGCTAACATGATAGCTCAAAGTACAGCCTAACAGTATGGGTATCGTACAGCTCCCAGATTTTGAATCCCAGATCCATTCTGTATGCCTTTTAAAAAGTGAATATTTGAGAAGATGAAGTATAAATATTATAAGTTGCTCCAGAGAGTATAACTAGGATTGGGGGAGGACTTCCTTATACCCAGAGCTATCCAACATTGGAAAAGGCTGTTTTAAGAGATTGTGACCTTCCTTTCAGAGGGTGGGATGGGAAAACTGATCTAAATTCTACAGGAGCCCATTATCAAATAAAGAAAAATAAGCATCCATATTGTTTGCTTGTGTTCATAAGATCAGAGATGTATAACTTGGAGATTAACAGGCAGTGAATATTTCTCATAAGCCCCCCCGTGAGAAGAACTCTTATGGTGTAGAGTTAGCAAAGTATAACAGGCTCCTTCCCCCTTCCCCCACCCCAAAAAAAGAACAGGAGAGCTTTGCAGTCTTTCAACAAATGCAATATGGCTGCTGTATTCTGGAATCTGATACATATGCCATGCAGTCTTTTTTTTTTTTAAGTGGTTCTCAAATCTAAAAGAAAAAGGAAATTCCAGACATATAACCAGACATTGCTCCACTATTCATGCTATCATGCTATCTGTGGATATTTGAGATAAACAGACATCCCCAAACTTAATTCTATGCATTAATTTTCATACTAATCTCTTAATTAGTTTCAAAACTGATAGGAATTTAACAAATTTTTTTAACAAATTTTTTCTTCCTTACTTATGACCAGATAGAGATTAAATAAAACAGCAAGATAATTAAGGTAGATAACATAAAGCAACAGTGGAGATATCAGCAGGATAATGACAACTGGAGTACTCAGGAATTGATCACAGACGTTGGCATTTTGCCTAAACCCTTAGGATGTCTCTTTTTTTTTTTGCAATGTGTTTTGCCCACATCATCTACATGCATGTTTTCCTTATTTGTTGAAGGAAGAGATATGTGACATGTGATTAAAGTCTCATGTGACATGAGAATAAAGTCTGAGAGTAAAGCTTGGGGTAGGCCAACTAGTCAAGTTAGAAAGTTTTATAGATATTTTAGAAACTACTTTTTTCTCAAATCCAACCCCATAAAATACTAGCAGAGTTCAAAACTCCTCATTAAATGCTCCTTTCTGAGTGTTTTCTTCTGTGTGTTTCAGATACCTTTTAAAAGAGCCTGTCGTAAATGATGATCTTCCAAGTCATATACTCTATGGAGCCATCAAGGTGAAATCAAGAGTGAAAGAGCTCACTGAAACATCTGCCATCTTTGAAGATGGAACAGTAGAAGAGAACATTGACATCATTGTCTTTGCAACAGGATATACTCTCTCTTTTCCCTTCCTTGAAGATCTTATTAAAGTAGAGAATAATATGGTCTCGCTATACAAATTCATCTTCCCTCCTCAACTGGAGAAGTCAACTCTTGCATGCATTGGTCTCATCCAGCCCCTAGGTCCCATTTTTCCAGCTATTGAACTTCAAGCTCGTTGGGTAACCAGAGTTTTCAAAGGTAAGTGAGTGAGTGAGCAGGCAGGTGAGTGGCTGAGGGTTTCACACTTGGTGGACTTTGCTAAAAACAAGTTTAGGAAAGGAAGTTGCCAAAAAGGTTTCCAACCTTGGCTGCTCTCACAAAATTGGTATCCTAAAAAATTAGCAGAGAATTCAAAAAATAACAAATACTGGGATACAAGAATAAATATCCATAATCATTCCTTTAAAATAGTAGAAAATTCAGAGAATTTCAATTGGCATAGTGTTAAGTACATATTACTTTTTGTTGGACTAATGAAAGAACAGTGAAGAAGGAAGACATCTATGACTCCAAGTTTTACCTATAAAATGTTTCTGAGTTCCTTGGGATATGTGCAAATCAAGAGACCTAGGCCCTACTCCATACTTAATTCCAAATTAACTCTTAATATCTAAGCACCTCAACCTCACAGATCCCTACTAAGCTATAAAATGATTGAAATATTTCTCTCTGAGCATTGTGTAGCACTTTGCACTTCTCAGAAGACTGTTACTATCTCCCTGATCCCAGGGTTCAATTCAGTTAAACAAAAATTTATTGAATATTCAGCCCTGTGCTGGAAATTGGTGGCATAGAGACAAATTTAAATGGATCATTTCAAGATAATAAGACAAATGCTTTGTCAGAGGAATGCATGGAGTGTATAGAAAGAAGAGAAAGGGTGCTGAGCAACAGCAGAGTGGGGTTGAGGAAGGGCATGTGGTCAAGGAAGACTCCTAGAGAGCTGGGTTTCCCAGGTGCAGAAAAAGGAACCCTTGAGTGGGAGTACAGAGGTGTGATATAGATGGAGAGTTACATGTTATCTGATATTCCTAGAACGTGGGGTGTGAGGCAGGGAGGGGTGAAAGATTCTTCTTAGAGGGCAAGGAACCAGAACAGAGGAACCTTTTAAGGCACACTAACGAGCTTGAATATAAAATATAGATCAGCTCTTTCCTAATTTCTTCTTGTTGTTTAGTCTCTAAGTCATGATCAACTCTTTTGCGACTCTATAGACTGTACCCTGCCAGGCTTGTCTATCCGTGGGATTTCTCAGGCAAGAATACTGGAGTGGGTTGCCATTTCCTTCTCCAAAAGATCTTCCCAATCCAGGGATCAAACCTGTATCTCCTGCATTGTGGGCAAATTCTTTGTTACTGAGCCACCTGAAGGCCCTTCCCAAATTTAGTTGGTAGACCCAAAACCATCCGGTGGATCCTTAGGAGCCCTGATTAAGTCTGGCCTGAGAACCTAGAGTCTCCACTTAAGAAAGCTCTTCTGCCAGAGGACCCAGTGAAAGGTTCTAAGCAAAGACCAGATATTATCAGATTTACATTTTTGGTAGATTATTTCAGCATTAATGTGAAAAATAGATTTGAAAGGCGAAAGGAATACAGTCCCAGAGACCAGTGAGAAGGCTGTGTAATTGTCTATACTAAAATATGATACAACCTCAGCCAGGCAAACAGACAACATGGAGAAGAGAAATAGTTAAGAGCCCATTATACAGAGTGAAGTAAGCCAGAAAGATAAAGACCATTACAGCATACTAGCACATATATATGGAATTTAGAAAGATGGTAATGATAACCCTAAATGCAAAACAGAAAAAGAGACTCAGATGTATAGAACAGACTTGTGGACTGTGGGAGAAGGCGAGGGTGGGATGTTTCAAGAGAACAGCATCGAAACATGTATATTATCTAGAGTGAAGCAGATCACCAGCCCAGGTTGGATGCATGAGACAAGTGCTCGGACCTGGTGCACTGGGAAGACCCAGAGGGATCCGGTGGAGAGGGAGGTGGGAGGGGGGATCGGGATGGGGAATACATGTAAATCCATGGCTGATTCATGTCAATGTATGACAAAAACCACTACAATATTTTAAAGTAATTAGCCTCCAACTAATTAAAAAAAAAAAAAGAGTAAAACCAGAAGGACATAATGATTGGCTCCAAGAAGAACAATTAAAGGAAGAGAGCAGAATCACAGGTGACTTGCAGATCTCAGGCAGTGGAAACTGGATTGAGAGCAGTGCTGGGACAAGGGCAGGCATGTGGAAGAATGCAAGCCTGAGCAGGAGGACTTCAGTGATAAACTCAGTTTTGGACTCATTGAATCTGAGATGTCTGATGACTAGCCATATTCAGGGAGTGTTACTTCTTCAGTCATGTCTGACTCTTTGCAACCCCATGGACTGTAGCCCACCAGGTTTCTCTGTCCATGGAATTCTCCAGGCAAGAATACTGGAGTGGGGAGCCATTCCCTTCTCCAAGGGCTCTTCCTGACCCATGGATCAAACCTGGGTCTCCCGCATTGCAGGCAGATTCTTGACTATCTGAGCCCCTAGGGAGCCAAAAAACGTGAAAAAAAAGTGTTAGTTGCTCAGTCATGTCCAATTCTATGCAACCGCATGGACTGTAGCCTGTCAGAGAAACTGACCATTTTCCAGCATGTCTGATGCTCCAGGGACACTTGTGACACAGATGGCCTCCCAAGCACACAGTGATGACTCACATCAATCTTTCTGCATCCCCACTGCCCCACCCTAGTTTGTGCCACTCCCTCCCTCGCCTGGTTTACTTCACAGCCTCTTAACTGGTCTTGCTGCCTCTAAACTCACCTCCCTGGAACCCATTTTCCAAAATTCAACACCTCGGAGAATCTTTCCAAAAGGCAAACCTGATCAGGTCACTTCCCACAGCTTCCCACCACCCTCAGAATGGAGCTCAAGCCACCTGGCACAGCTCCCTGGCTTCTTAGGCTCACTTTCCCACTCAGGCTTCCTCTCTTACCACCATCACCCCACCTCAGAGTCCATGGTGTAGTCTGGTGTATCCTGGGCAACATCAAGCAGAACTCAATGTGAGTGGCACACCCTGGAGTTCAACAGCACAGCCTCCCTGACTGGTTTAACATGGGTCAGTGGCCAAAATTTACATGTAAGAATCAATTACTAGATAAAGTAATGATACCGATCCAAACCTACTGCTCAACCAACCTTTTATTTTCTAGGCTTATGTACCTTGCCCTCAGAGAGAACTATGATGGAAGACATTATCAAGAGGAATAAAAAAAGAATTGACTTGTAAGAATTTTTTTTTAATTCTTTACATAGAACAGTATTGAACTGCTCACAAGAATCACCTAGCTGCTTCTTAAAAATCCAGAGACCTGGGACATAACCCAGACCAACTGAATCAAAATTTCTGGATGAGACTGGATTTTTGTGTTCTTCCAAGGTGATTCTTATATATGCTAGTTTAAGATCCAACTGCTTAAAAATAGTCATTTCACCTTCCTTGACATATTTTCATTTGTTTTGTATGATGCCTGTGTTAGATTCTATATCTTCTCACACTCTGTGGTAAAGAGAAAATGGGATGAGACAATGGTGGTGACAGTAGCCCGAGTATCTCTGGAAAGTTAGCTGGGGGAACTCCCATCAAAGCAAATTAGAAAGGAGTTGGTATGGAATGAAAGTCAAGGATTTATACTTTGTAACACAGTAGAATCCATAAGGGATCTTAAGGATCCATTAAGAATCCATTCCATAAGGAATCCACTAAATTCCATAAGTGATTAAGTACATCGGAAGGTTTACTCTGGGGCCTTACATCACATGTAGGGATTATCTCACTTTAAAGTTCTCATTCATCTATTATATTCCAACCAGAGTGCCAGATACTTTAACAATTTAACTAGAAAATATTAAGCATCTCTTCTGTGCAAGACACCAAGCTACACTTGCATCTGTAATCTGGTGAATCTTTGCAACAATCCTGACTAGTTTTACTTGCCAGAAGATTTGTAGCTGCTTGCTAAATACCAAATAATAATAATGGTTATAAACCCTATCACATTCCTAGAACTTCCATGAAATCAGACTTATTTATTTTATATCCTACTCTCAATCTGAGATATGGGTCTCCTGTTGAAATAAACTAACACTTGCCACCAGAGTCATTCAAAGCTCATTTATTCATTCATTCATCTCTCCATTCTTTCAGCACTTATTGAATACCTAATGTTCTTATGTAACTTAGAATAATTTGTGACTCTGTCCTTTTTTCTACGTTAAGGTTTGGAGAGAGCAAAAGCCAGCTACTGCAGACCAGATACATCAGCTACTTGGACGAGCTCGCTGTAGAGATAGGTGTGAAGCCAGACATCCTTTCCCTCTTGCTGAAAGATCCTAAACTGGCTGTGAAACTCTATTTTGGGCCGTGCAACTCCTATCAGTATCGTCTGGTTGGGCCTGGGCAGTGGAATGGAGCCAGGAATGCCATCTTCACCCAGAAACAAAGGATACTGAAGCCTTTAAAGACACGGGCTATCAAAACCTCATCTACTTTCCCAGTTTCCTTCCTGTTGAAAATCCTGGGGCTTCTTGCTGTTGTGGTGGCCTTTTTTTCCCAACTTCAGTGATTCTAGTCTGTCAACATTAATGCTTTAAGTTTTATAGCAGTCAGTACCTCTTAAAGAAAAAAAAATTAAAGAAAAAATATTAAATCTAAAGTCTAAATTTTAGAGTTGGAAAGAGAGAGAAAGAGTTAGAAGAATTAGGTATAAAATGTATAAAACCAAAATTATGTCATGAAATTTCTTTGCCATCCATCCTTCCCTTAAACTCACCAGACTCTCTAAAAAATAATAATAATAATAAAAATCAATATAGTAACACTGGCTGAATAGTGCTGCCAAGCCTGTGTAAAGGAAAGCCATATGGGAAAATAGTAGAGTTACACAGAATGAAAAGCACCCATGATTTAAATTATTGGAAAATACAAATTGTGGGTAAATATTTAAATTTCTGCATGTTGTTCTTGATAGTCTTCTTAGCCAAACTTTATTTGGTCACAGTGTTCTCAAATGTTAAGTCAGGCTCCATTTGCTTCATGAAGAATCACTCAAAAATATTGGAGAAAAAGAAAAATGAGAAGATAGACTTAGAAAACAGCAACATTCAGACAGGTTTTTAGGGCCTTACATCAAAAGCTGAGCAAATAGCCACTTTTCTTATATTTGTCTTATATTTTTGAAGGGCTTCCCTGGTGGCTCAGGCAGTAAAGAATTTGCCTGCAATGCAAACCCAGGAGACCTGGGTTTGATCCCTAGGTAGGCAGATCTCCTGAAGGGAATGGCCACCCACCCCAGTATTCTTGCCTGGAGAATTCCATGGACAGAGGAGCCTGGTGGGCTACAGTCCATGGAGTCGCAAAGAGTTGGACACAAGTGAGTGACTAACACTTTCACTTCACTATATTCTGATAGAGACACTGCTGTAAAATTAAAAATAAGCATACCATAATAGATGGATAGATGTATTTACAATATTACTATACATATAATATGTATTTACCATATATATATTGAGAGAGAGAGTACTTATCATATACCAATGTGCACATTGTGTGTATTATTTCATTTAATTCTCATGACAATTCTGTGAGATGGGTACAGCTCTTGTACCCATTTTACAGGCTATGAAACTGAGACTCAAGTTAGGTAACATGCCCAGGGCCATCCATCTTGTGATGGAGATGGGATTGGAACTCAGGTTTGCCTGACTCCAGAACTGAATATCATAACCATGCCCCATAATATTTATTTACAAAAACCTTTACTATTAACAAAATACTTACTAAAGTTCTATTTATAATCACATATGTATTACTTTTGTAGGCCCTTTACATAGAAAATAATACTCTTCTCATAAATAAGATCTGATTAATTTTATTTATAATATTTGGATTATATTTTAGCTAGATCTAAAATTTGTTTGAAGGAATTTACAACAAAATAAATGCTTATATAATGATGTTAAAGATAATCATTGACATTTTCAAAAAAATGTTAAAAGTGTTAAGGGGAAAAAAGTATATTTCCCAAGTAGATGAAAGGTATTGTAATAACTGGGCCTTGTATTTAGCTCTAACCAACAAATAACCAAGGCAAAAAGCAAAACAGTATGTAATCTTTGTCATCTGATAAAAGCAAGCATACCAGCTTGTTAGGAGAGACAGACATTTGCTTAGAACTGAACTTTAAAAATGTCACAAGCAATTCAATGTCAATAGATACTGAGCAACATAATAGATAAACATCTGATTATAAAACATTCATCACAGCCGTTAGTTCTACAAATTATGCTTTGGGAGATTAAACCATGCCGCAAGCCCAGAACAAGACCTTCAAAGACAGGGGAAAGGTCAGAGATTCAAGATTTAGACAAATTTCTCCTTTTATTCCTCCAAAGCCACTGGGGTCATCACTCTTCACTTGGCCTAGATTTCTCTCTCAAGTGCCCAGAACAATGTGATGGCAATCCTGTCAGTGGAAACTCTTTAAAGGCTATTGAAATGATACCAGCCTTTATATACAGGTGGTGTTTTTTTTTCATTGCTCCTACAAGCAGATTGCTTTGAAAAAGTGTATATGGTATATATACTTAGCTATCAATTAAAAACCAATTACCTTGCTAATTATTAAAAATCATTTACAAGTGATTATATTAATAATAATAACAAAATAGAATTTATCAAGGCTTTATAGCAAGAGTAGGCAAACTACTGCCTGTAGGTCAAAACCAGCCCACTACTTATATCTGTAAATGAAGTTTTACCGGAACATAGCCATTCCTTTTCACTGATTGTCTGTGGCTGCTTTGAAGCTGTAATGACAGCGCTGAGTAGTTGCTAACAAAAACAGTATGGCTCACAAGGATAAAATATTTACAGAAAGTTTGTAAATACAGAAAGCTTGCAGGTCCCTGCTTTGTAATGTGCAAAGCTTTGCCCTAGTTGTTTTTTCATAACTCACTCATCATTACCATTACCCAGTGAAATGACTATGGTTATTACTCTGTTTCTATAGTGGAAGATTGAATCAATTGTCAGGTCAATGCTGAATCAGTGGGGTCGGGGGGAATAATGTCATTAGGACAAAATTGTTATTCAATTTACATTCTTGAAAATGTTTAGAAAGAAGATGATCACTTGAAATCATTTCAAGTATTCTGGTAGATTTTTTTAAACATAAATAGTTCATATCCAGAGCCTGAAATTGATTAAGGAAGACTCATTCAAGTCTATTCCTTTGCCTCCATACATCCAGAAACATGAAAGTATCCTAGATAAACAAACCATCTAGGATAGTTTGTTCCAAACTATGATCCACAGAGACATTCTCTGCATCAGAATATCAGATATGAGCTAGCTACCATCTTCTTGCAAAATCTCTCCCTGTGATTGGTTCCCTTTTACTAACTTCTGATTTTAACTATTTTTCTCCAGATGATTGGTCCTTGATTTTCCACCCTCAAAGCCAAATGTGTCATATTTGCAGAAAAATAAAGATATTTTAAAAATAAAACTATTGGACCATCATATGTAACAAAATTCCAAGTAATAAAGATTTTCAAAGCTTAATTGAAATATAATCCAGCAGTCACATTATAATAAGGATGGCAAAAGAAGATTCTTCTTCATAACTGGTCTTTCATCCTGCAAGATGTTGCTACTGGCCTGCAACACCTTGTACAGAGTTTTTGGCTATTTCCCAAGAGGGAGAATATTTTTATACACAACATACCTCACTTTCTGGTCCAGTCTACCTTATGACCAGATTGTGGATCAATGAGGCTAAAACAAAGGTTCCTGAGATTGTTATTGTTCAGTCACCAAGTCATGTCCAATTCTTCAAGACCCCATGGACTGCAGCATGCCAGGCTTCCCTGTCCCTCACCATCCCCAAAGTGTGCCCAAGTTCTTGTCCATTGCATCGTTGATGCCTTCCAGCCATCTCATCCTCCATTGCCCACTTCTCCTTCTGCCTTCAGTCTTTCCCAGCATCAGGGTCTATTCCAATGGGTCAGCTGTTTGCATCAGGTGGCCAAAGTATTGGAGCTTCAGCTTCAGCATCAGTCCTTCCAACAAATATTCAGGGTTGATTTCCTTTAAGATTGACTTTAAGGTTCTAATCTCTAATCCTGAGATTAGATTCTACTTAATTCAGATTGGTTGCTAGAATGAGATTAAATATGCAAGTGTTTTATTAAGGAAAATGACTGCATGAGAGGAAAGAGAGAGCGCTGTGCAAGAAAAGGCTGAAAGAGTCAGTGAACAGCAATGCAAATCTGACCCTGAATGAAGGAGAGAGGTAAAATGGGTGGATAGAAACATCATAGACTGTTGTGCAGTCTAAAGAAGAATCGGCAGAGCCACGGGGGACACCTCAAGTCATCAGAGAAGCCCTGACTATCCTGTGAATGAAACGCATCAGTCTCTGTGATATGTCATCACTGACTAAGTGCAGCTCATGGGAAAAGTAACCTGAGCATGAATGCAGCAATGCATCTCAAGTACAGCAGCTAACGCCCTTGGTTAATTACACTCCCTATTGTGAAATATCTATAAAACACATTCTCATGGTTACCATAGGTTCATAATAATATTTTTATATTCTTTACTTAGTTTAATCATCATTTTTAGATTAATTTACCTAGTTACTCATCGGTTTCTCCCACAACCAATTCTGAGATATTAGTGTCCCTTCCCCTTGCCCCAAAACTTCCAGTCCCTAAAAGCCCAGACTCAACGGTGTTTGTGAGAGTACCAACAAGGATATGCTATGGGGTCCTCCTCTCCTGCTGACACCTTACACCTTTCCTCAGAAACCTTCAGTAGCTCTCCATCATTTATTATTCAAAACTCTTCACACCAGCTGTCACCTCCCTCCCCAGCATTCTGCCCACTGTGATGCCTTCACACCTCTCCAACACTCTCCACACTGCCTCACTAGCTGCCCTTACTTCATGCTATCTGTTCTTGCCTCCCCAATACTCTAGTAAGATCCCATCCTTCCTTCAGTGCCAGGCCAAACGCTTTCCCCAGTCCCTCTAGCCAAAATATATCTCCTCCCCCTCTGTATTACCAAACCACTTTGTTTCAATCTTGCAATAGTGTTTCACTCCTGCCTTCTATTAGGTTATTTCTGTAGTTCCTAAAGAAGTCACCTCAGTTTTCTGAGACTGAGTTTTCTCAAATGAGCATAGAAAAGGGGTCAGATGATCACTAATTCCCATTAAATATAATATTCTATGTTTTTATCGTAATTTGTTAACTGTCAATTTTTTAATAATGGTTAAATAGAACGTCTTTTGTAGTTCACTAGCACTAACAGCAAACGTGACAATTTTGTGCCAAGAGGCTACCAAACCCAACTTCCAGAAAATACACAGAAAGGCTGCTTTGGCACTCCTCTGGGTAAAGAGTAATAGGAATCATATTTTGGAACCAAATATGATATGATGGAACAATAATAGGGAACCAAAGGATCACTGCAAGTCACTGGGTCAATTTAAAGATGGAAGAGACTAAAGAGAATGCTCTCAGACATGAAAATAGAGATTCAAAGAACTCAGGTCACCATCCAGGGCCACACGAATAGTCATGTCTCCTGAATACCAGCTGTTATTGCTTCCTCTCTCAGTTCAAACAAACTGCAATAAAGACTGGCTGCTTTATCTCGTGGGTGAGAAGTATACACCTAAAACTTGTGTTTTCACACCCAGATATCTATCTATATCTGTCACATATTCTGGGAGAGGAATTTTATTTATAACTATTAAACAGAGCTTTAATTGTTAGACATTCCTATATTTTGGGCTACTAGCCAGTA